TCTGCAACTTCTCTATAAATCAAAAACTATTTTAAAATAAAAATTTTATTAAAAAAGAAAAAAGCTGGATCTCTGTCTTACACCAATATTAATTCCTGGCAGATCAAAGAATTAGTATTTAAAAATGTAAAAGTACTAGAAAAAAAAACATGGGGAAAAATTTTAAATCTATAGACTATAACACAAAGGACAAACACTTAATTTCCTCGGGATGCTCTATAGCATGGTAGTTAGAAATACAGGCTCTGGATCCAGAGCACCTGAGTTCACATCCCAATCTTGCCAGTAACTACTTGGATAACTTTAGGCAAATTACTTTCCCTGTCTCTACTTCACTTTCCTTACATTTATAAAAGGTATGATAACAGTACCTACCTCATTAAACTATCATGAGGATTAAATGAGCTAGTCCATGTAGAGTGCATACGAGGTCTAACAATTAAGTTCATGAACTTGTTGCAACAATGCTGCTAACCTTTTTTTTTTTTGACATCAGAGGGATTATTCATTATGAATTTGATACCAACTGGACAAACAGTTCACCAAGTTTACTATTTGGAAGTGCTGAAAAGGCTGCGTAAAGAAGTTAGACAACCTGAACTTTTCTCCAACAATTCATGGCTCTTGCATCACAACAATGCACCAGCTCACAAGGCACTGTCTGTGAGGGAGTTTTTAGCCAGTAAATAAATAACTGTATTGGAACACCTTCCCTACTCACCTGATCTGGCCCCCCTGGTGACTTCTCTCTTTTGGAACACCCTCCATACTCACCTGATCTGGCCCCCTGTGACTTCTCTCTTTACCCAAAGATAAAGGAAATATTGAATCAAAGACATTTAGATGACATTCAGGACATCAAGGGTAATACAAGGACAGCTCTGATGGCCATTCCAGAAAAAGAGTTCCAAAATGGCTTTGAAGGGTGGACTAGGCGCTGGCATCAGTGCATAGCTTCCCAAAGGGAGCACTTTGAAGGTGAACATAGTGCTATTCAGCAATCAGGTATGTAGCACTTTTTCTAGGATGTGTTCATGAACTTAATTGTCTGACATATATATGGTTATGTTGCTATCACAATTACAAGATTTTTTAAAACCAGAATCAAGAATATGAAAACAAATTTCTACAACTTTTTTAGTGATGTTTAAAGTCAAGAAACCACAACAAGACAAATTCTTGGTCAATCCAATATTTAAATATTAGAAAAAGGTGAAACCACAAAAATACCAGAAGAAAACGTGGGAGTTAAAAAAAATAATCTAAGTAGGAAATCCAAATATGACAATAAAAGACTGATAAATTTGACTAAATAAAAATAAAAACCTCCTGCATAGCAAAAACAAAATTTTAAACATAAAGATCAAAAAAGGTGATACACTGTACTCGTATTGATGGGAATATAGAGAAACAGGCATTTTCATGCTATTTCTAGCAATTGTATAAACTGATAGAACTTCACTGAGAAGCAATTTGGCAATATCAGAATTACTAATTCACATACCCTTTGACCCAGTAACTCTTCTCCAGGAATTTTCTTACAGATATTTCACAATGTACAAAATGTCAGCCTGGAAAATCCTTAAATGTCCTTTAACCTAGGACCGACCAGGTAAATAAATTAAGGTACATGTATATACACTGTAATCCTATATAGTTATTAAAAAGAATGAAGAGGTTCTGAGCTGAGTATGAAATGCTAGGGTATGATCTTCAAGACATACTGTTAAAGGACGAAAACAAGATGCAGAACAGTGTCTGTGCTATGCTCCCATCCATGTGAATAAACGGGGAGAGGGTGGCATAAAGAGATAAAATTTATGATTCCTTATATATGTATAGACTAACCTGAAAAAATAGGTTAAAAATCTGATCTATACTTTGTCATAGGGTAAATAAACAACCTCATGCCGATAAATCTGAAAAATTAGACAAAATGGACACATTCTTTATGTCGAAAACTGAATTCCTGATCATCCCTGCTCTACCAGGAGTCTTCTCCATCTCAGCTGATGGCAGCTCCAACTTTCTAGTTGCTCAGTTACTCCCCTCATCCCATCCATCAGCAAATTATGTTAGTTACACCTTCAAATGACTGGTCTAAACACATACTCTGTAAAAAATTATATAAATGGAGCCACTTTAAAATGGAATCAGAGCTGCCATCCCAGAGGAACTGCCTTGCACATCTTATGCCTTAAGGCTTTGGAATGTTAAAACAGGGCAAAATAAGCTTTGGAATGGGCCTAAGGCAACACCGTATCCCAAAGAACTATTTGCAAGGCTAACAAGAAAGCAGATATTATGACTACTGGATTGATGGCTACCAGAATGAACATTAAAAACATTGAATTAGCGTCACTATGTTAGTTTATCTTCACTAATAGAAATGCCTTCCTTCTATTGATGTAATTGTACCCCTTCCCTTTCTGATAAATACCCCTTGCCTTCGTCTCCTTATCAGAACACTATTTGGGTTTCTGCCTGAATCAGTGCTTCCTGAATATCTATTCTTTTTTTAATCTCAAAAAAGCAGTGTGAGGAAAAAACTCACAGACTCTTAAAAGCACTCTCACATACTCAGGAAAGAATTCACACAAATCTCAGCCGACGGGGTCCCAATACCACAGGAGCCATCCAGGGGGCGCTATGGCATAGCCTCCACACAGGTGAGGAGAGCCGACTGGGAAGAAAGCGACAAAAGGAAGGCACTGGGATAACCCAGAGTGCTACAGGAAAGCAAGGGTTCCCCTCTGCTACCACAGTGGCCCCTCAGCCTGTAAGAAGGCATCACTCCAGCTCATTCCTGCACCCCCACCTGCACAAGGATAGCTGAATGTCACCTCCCAGAATGGAACAGACAGGAAAAGTGGAAGGGACACATACAGGTGTGCACCTGTGCCCCAACCTCCAACGAGCATCACCTGTAGGAATAGGAAGTGAGAAATGCCATTCACACTGGCCTTCCTCTGCTACCTGGGGCAGGTTCTCTGCGATGGGAAGGGAAGAACAGACCAATGCTATGTCCCTACCAAGATCCCTAACCCACAGCCCCCTAGGTACTTTGTCTCCAAGACCTAAAACTGAGAGCAACCAGTCAGTCAATCATATATGTCATTGGAACTGCTGTAGCACTGGAATGGAACCCGTTAGCCACAGGCAGATTAACAGGTCACGAACAGTGCTCTAGGCAAAATTCCTTACTGCAATTCCCAGGGTGGGATATAGAAAAAACTATTAGGTCAAATACATTTTAAAAATGGAAGACTGAACTCAGTGCACTTTGACTTCTATCAGGTAGGCAACAGGCCACCTGGGACTACTACTTTCAACTCCATGCTACTTTCCAGAAATGAGAGGGAGTTAGAGACCCAGTGGTCCATCCACATAAAACTTCTAACCATTTCTCCCCATGCTTCTCCCATCTTATGCCTCTGCTCATACCATCTACTCTACTAGGCATGCTCTCTCCCACATCCCTTGCTGGAGCATTTCTACCCTTCTTTTAAAACCCTGCTCAAACCTCACTTCCTCTAAGATGTTCTCTCAAGCCCCACACCTGCTACTGTATTAACCTCATTTATCCCTGTTATAATATGGCATCCCAGACCCTTTGCCCTTTTGAGATAGACTTGAATCTGTCTCCAACAAGAAACCATGCCCTGGTGGACTATGATCAAGTTTCATAGATCTTTGTTCATGCCTTTCAGTATCTCATACAAAGACCCTCAGGAAATATTTGTTAAACAAAACTGAATTCAAGCCACACTCAGAGAAGCTGCTTTGCTGCTCTGACCCTGCTTTGCTATGGACACAATGCAGTACTCTTCCTTCCTCTTTACATATCCTCTTTTGTTAGCTTGCTTAGAAGATTAACTCTTTAAAAAGAATTTTAATGTTTTCCCTGCTATACATGATTTGGGTTTGGGTTTTTGTTTTTAATCCAATAGTATAATTCAGATAACATAAAATTCACCCTTTTAAAGTGTACAGTTCAGGGGTTTTTAGTATATCCACAATGTTGCACAATCATCACCACTGTTTAATTCCAGAATGTTTTCATCCCCCCAAAAAGAAATCCTGTACTCATTAGCAGTCACTCCCCACTGCCACTCTACCCCGATATGCCCGTAACCACAAATCTACTTTATATCTCCAATATACATGATTTTGACAAAGCTCACAGTATTCTTAACTGTGATAAGCCAAATTTTATCTTCAAAGAGAAATAGTTTCTCTTATTTTACCATAACTCAAAAGGAAAATGTGATTAACACAGCAACTTACTTAACCATTTCAGGATATAAAACAAAAGCTCTTACCATTAAAGTCATCTTACGTGTTTACCTTGCCATTTGTTTTTGCTTTAACCCTTTTATTGAAGAAGCATAATATACATTTAGAAAAATACACATATCATGAGTATTTTTACATTAAGGTACGCACCTTAAGTTTTCAAAAACTGAATATACAAATGTAACTAGCACCCAGATGGCGAAACAGAAGCACCCCCGGCCCCTCTGCCAGTTACCATCACCTCCAAAGAAGAACCACTACCTTGACTTCTAACAGCATACATTACCGTATTTCCCCATGTATAAGACGCACCCTTTTACGAAAAATTTAGGGTCTAAAAACTGGACACGTCTTATACAGTGGTTGTAGTTTTACTTGCATTTCCTGCTGAGGACGAGGCAATACATGAAGACAGTGATTCATCATCAGACACAGATGAGGACAAGCTAATTGTTGGGAGTTTTGACAGTGATGAGGAATTGTATGAATTTTATGATGAATAAAACTTGAGTTCAACAACTTTATGTAATACATTTTTTTTAAAATTTCAGGCCCCAAAATTAAGGTGTGTCTTATACATGGGAGTGTCTTATACATGGGGAAATATGGTACTTTTGCCTGTTTTTGTACTTTTATATATAGGAGCATATAGTATGCAGTATAGAAAACTTTTACATTGACATTATATGCCATTTAGTACTCACCATAATCTTCTTGTACAGAGCCATGACATTATCATCATCAAACGGTAGAAAGCCACACATAAGCACATATAAGAGTATGCCCATGCTCCAAACATCTGCCTGAGAGGGAGAAAAAAATAGTAATTCCAAAGAAAATTTAGCACATATTTGAGAATGGCAGTACACATAATAGAATCACAGAATCTTCACAGAGCTAGAAAAGAGCTCTGAGATCATCCAATTAAACCTACTCATTCTACAGACAGGGAACCTAAAGCCCGGAAAGGTATGCTTGTCCAAAGTCACCCAGGCCACCCAGGTAGGTCACCTGATGTCCAGTTCAGTGCACTCTCCTCTAACACTGGACTCTAACACTTTATAGAAAATAATTTCCAGTTGGTTGGGCTGGATTGGGCACAGAGGAAGGAGATGAGGCCAGGTCTCTAATTCTGAAAGACAATTCTACAGTGCTACTGAGGGTTTATTATATATGAGGGTTATGTAAACACACACGAGGATGTCAAAACAAGTCTTAAAATTTACTACTGATAATCTGCAAATGTGATAAGCTGCACTGTGAAGTCCTCTCTGTGGAGACAAACCTTGATAAAGTTCAACAATTGACTTTTCAAATACAGAGGCTAGAAATTAGCCTGCCAGCACAAATAGCGCTACAAATCTCAAAATTCCAGAAAGGAGCTTAACCTTTATACAAGATATCCATGTGTCCCATGAGTCCTAAGCACTAACTACTTATTCAAGCAGTTCTTGGCCTTAGTCAATAATGACGCCACTGTTGGCTAAGAAGTCACAGCTCCCACCCACATTTGAGTCTTTGGAAAATGTTAAGAGGTAAGAAGGGTAGCATCTTTCTTTTTACAAAAAAGAATCAAAAGTCAAACTAAAATGGACAACAACTTAAAGATCCTGTAGGAAAATCTCAGCTGCACTCAAACCAGCAGGGCCTCACCACAGCCCTCTAGGAAGCTTGTGAAAATTAGGCATAGGATTATCACTCTTTCTGGGAGACTGGATGGAACCGTGGAAAGAGTACAAGTATGCAGTCAAGCCTCACCCAGTTCAAATCTGGACCATAGCTACCAGCTGTGTGACCCTGTGAAGGCACTTCATTTTTTGAGTCTTAATTTCTTCATCTTCTTTATCTGATGAAATGGAGTAATAGGGTTCACTTCAAAGGATTTTTGTGGAGCTTAAATAAAAATTATAAAAAGTATCTAGGGGCCGGCCAAGTGGCGCGTTGGTTAAGAGTTGGCTTGGGATGCCAGCTCTGAGCAGCAGGGCACCTGTTCAGATCCCACATGAGGGCCAGTGACACCGTGCCCTCTACAGCTAAGATGGTGAACAATAGCTCAACCTGGAGCTGGGATCTCGTGAGTCGCCAGCGACGGCGTACACTGCAGCCCCTGCTGCAGTGGGCTGCCATGAGCTACTGCAAGTGGCTGGCAGCCAGCGTGAGCGGCCGGCAGCCGGGGTGAGCTGCGGTGAGCGGCCATCCAATGACCAGCAACCGAATGCCTCAGCTGGGAAGAGCGCAATGATCATAATACCAACATGGCCCAGTGAAGCGGTGTCCTCCACAACTAGACTGAAGAACAAAAGGACAGCTACTTGTCTGTTCCCCTTCCCCCGATTCCTCAACACTGTTCCCCTCCCCCAATCCCCCAATAAAATCTTAAAAAAAAAAAAAAAGTATCTAGCATGTGGAACCCTTGTGCACTATAGTGGGAATAAAAATGTTTCTGCCACTCTGAAAACAGTATGGCAGCTCCTCAAGAAATTTAAAAATAGAATTACCATATGATCCAGTCATTCTACTTTTGGTTATATGCCCAAAATAATTGAAAGCAAGATCTCAAAGAGATATTTGTTCCTATAAGCACAATAACCAAACTGGGAAGCAATTCCAGTCCAATGGAAGTCCATCCATGGGTGAATGGATAAACAAAATGTGGCCTATACATAACGTACAAGGGCATATTATTCAGCCTTAAAAAGAAAGGAAATTCTGGCACATGCTATGGCATGGATGGATTGTGCTAACCAGCATCTCTGAAAACTGAGCCTGCAACCCTGGCCTTGTGCTCTACCTGGCTGGACTAACCAATCTAAACTATGGTGCCGTTAACAGAAAAAGCATCACAATGAGGACACAAGAAATATATCCTTGCTTCATTAGTGTACTATACATTATTATATTTATTGCAAGTTGTTCATTTCACTTATTACTTTATGTATCTCTCTGAAAAGACTGACCTCTCTGGTTAACAAGATTATTTCTTACCTCATCGCTATATCCCTAGTGCACCATGCCTGGCTCACTACAGGTCAACAATCAATGTATACTGATTATACTGGGTTGTCGGAAAAGTCATGATGCCTTTTTAAAATGAAAAACATAGAAAAAATACGTTATGACTTTTCCAACAACCCAATATATTGAATTAACCAATGAATAATTACCTCTGATCCCAGATATGATTTGCCTTGTATTAATTCGGGTGCTGCATAAGCAAGGCTCCCACAGCATGTCTGGAGATGGTAATCCTTGTTACCCTGCCAGTAAGATAAAAATGAAACACTTATTAATTACAGCCTTTAAGAGAATTAAAGCCTTAATAAACATTCTTTCAGCACAGCAAAGAGAATCTAGATAAACAATTACCCCAAACAATTAAGAGGCTTCTGCAGCCAACCCAATACTTTCTGCCTGCATGCATGCACATGGGTTTCCTCTTCTCTAGGTTTCTAATACTACATACAACCTGACACGAACAAAATTCTTTTCCCCTTAGTTTAGTCAAGTCAGGTTCATACTTCCCTAGACATTCATTCACATAATAATCAGCTTAGCACACACCCAAGCACCCATGTCTTCGCACCCCCAAGTACTCAAGGAAAAAGGATTATTTCTTTACTGGACCCTATCCCCGTTATTAAAACTTAGAGAGCTTTCTTTCCCCCTAAAGGGAAAACAATATGCTACATAGAACAGCGCCTTGGGAATCTGTTTTCTAGTCTCAGTTATAACACCAGTCATGACCTGAGCTTCCAGATCTGGTAAAATGAGGAATCTGCTCAACTGTCACTGCTTTCCCACAGAATTATCGAGACATAGTGAAAACGATACTACTGCCCAACACCCATAGTACAGAGTTCCACAACTGGCAAGGAACTTGTATAATTGGGAGATTTCATTTACAACTGCAACAACATGTCCAGAGGTGAGCTCCTCAGCAGAAAGCTGAGGCAATGCTCTTCTAGCCAACCCTTGTTTTTTTCGATGGTGTCTGTGTGGGTCAAATCTGTGGCAGCCAGAGACAAAGGCTAATGGAGTCTGTCACAAACATTCTCCACTGCCTCCTGCGAAGAGCATGACTTAAACCTGTTTATCTGCTCAAAGTATGTTTTATCTTTATATGCCTGCTGATAAAAAAAAAAAAAAGCCTTTGAGCATTTGGTTCCCAGACACAAGTCTCCACTAACAACCTCTGAAGGGCCGAAGAAAAAAGAGAGGAAAATCAGAAAGAATCGGCCATTCAGCAGAAGGGGCAAACTCTGCTTCCCTTTGCTCACCTAGCTAATTCCGATTGGAACAGCAAATAATCATGGGACTCTCACAAAGAGCTAAGACAGGTCTGTAATTTCAACCCTCTTAATGAGTATAGACAGCTTATTTTAGAGACTGTGAGTACCATCATTAGAGAGCTCAGGAGGAAGCCTCCAACAGGCAGCCACACAGGAGCTCTGCGGCAGACAGAAGAGGTGGCAAGTTCAAAGTCACCTCAAAGAGAAAGCATGCTGGAGAACGTCAGTACTTAAACTATGGGGTGCAAATGAAGAAAATATATTAACAGCATAGATTTAAAAGCACATATGGACTTTTTCCTTCTTTTATAAGGAAAGGGGACTGTCTCTCAAAATGTAACTGACTTGTTAGTTATAGAGCCATTTGGATAATAAAGAATAGATTAATTCCCAAAACTCGTATCTAAATGAACAAAGGCATCATCTAGTGGCAACATACTCAACTGCAAACACTTAATCAATTCAATATTCATGCTCTGATGGCCTCATGTCACCTCAGCACTGCAAATTCTCTCACAGCATACCCATGGGGTCTTCAGCAAGACCAACCCTGGACCTAAAGCAATGGTTCTCAATCTTGGCTACAGATTAGAATCATCTAGATAACTCGTAAAAGGAATGAAATTTAACGTTCTTCTCAATGATTGTAACTAGGCTCATAAATACTAAGTGGAAGTCAGTGCAAGACTAAGAGGTACATTTACAAAAGAAATAAATACATTTTTATTTCTGCACTTACCTTGGGTTTCGCACAGAGACCAAAGTCAATCAGCTTTAATTTATGATATTCATCGAACAACAAATTTTCCTGGAAAAACAAAGGTATTTTCACAGCTGCATACTGACTTCCTTATAACACATCTCACCTCTAGCCATTTCTAAAAATGACTTAAGGTTATTATATTAAAAAGCCTGGGGACAAAAGAATGAAAATCATTTTAAAAAGAATAAAATAACAAGGAGTATAGAAGGGGAGAAAGGAGGGAGGTTAGTAACTATCCCACTTCCCCTCAAGACACATTAGCATAAACCATTTTCTACTTGGTGCTCTGAGTTTCAACTATAAGCAAACAATGTGTGCTGAAGGCAAGTTTAAACCAAAAGAGTGAGCTCAAATAAAAGGGTTAGGTATAAACAGAGGGAAAGAGATAGTAACACTGCCATATTTTGTCAGGCCAATTTTAGGTCCCTGACCCTGGTACCAAGTAACATTAAAAACCATGTTCACCACCATCCATATTAGTCAGAGCCAGCAGACATTTTTATTCTGTCCTTGAAAAGGAGAGTCTGTCCATTCAGTGAACTATTCCTTTCTGAATGGAATTAAAATTAAAGGAAGAAGGACTTAGGAAAAGAGAATTGAATGGAAAATACTCAATGACAATATACTCGAAGAGAATACTCAAAACTCTTATTTCCTAGAGATAAAATCCTGAGGTTTATATTCCGTGGCTGATTACAAAGACATTTATAATGTCATAAATTGGCAGATAAATAAAATGCCAAAAATAAGTCCATCCTAAAAAATCTACCAGAAGTCAAAATAAAGGAGCAAAAAAACAATGATACATTATGAATGGGGGGGGAGGGGAAGCAAAGCCAAGATATAATAGGTTCTAAACAGAAAGAACCAAGTAACAAGTAAATGATGTTGAACTCTCAGGTGAACACCAAACTATGACACTTACTGGTTTGAGGTCCCTGTGAGCATAGCCCTCGCTGTGCACATAAGCAACCGCAGATACAATCTGACGGAAGACAACTCGGGTCTCCTCCTCGGACAGGCGATCCTGGGAAATTATGTAGTCAAACAGCTCTCCTCCAGAACAATGCTTCAAGAGCAAGAGTCACACAGATATTGTTACTACTTAGAACTCACGTCAGAGAAATTTAAAATTAAAAATCCTACATAACTCAGAGATATTATTAATTCAACTTATAGGCAGGGGAACTGAGTGAGGCATATTTAAAAATACACTCTCAGGATCAAACAACTCAACAATTATTCCAGGAAAGAACAGCTCCCAGTCTCAAGCAGTTTTATTACCAGTAAGTAGAAATAGAACCAACGACCACTGTGACTTTTAAGTTCATTCAGGGTTGTATATTTTTATAGCAAAGTACTAAAGCCCATTTTCATCTTAATGCACGCACATTTAGTGTAATTACCTGAAACAAAAAAACCCAGCAGCATTATTACTTCTCCATCCCAAAGACCAGTGATTTTTGGTGTGTACCAGAAGGAGCTGAGTTCTACAGAGGTTCCTCACAGGCTGAGAATGGGTGCCAGAGCACAAAGCTCTAGGCTTTCTATACCTTCTCCAGAGCAGCTCCACTTTTCTGTAAACTGGGGTTTTCATTTAGGATTTCATTTCATTTTAGCAGAATCAATCAAAATCGCAGATGTATATATGCTTGACCTCACAGTTGCATTTAGGGATTGTTCCTATAGATACAGTCTCGCATCAAAAATGATACATATTCGGGCCGGCCGAGTGGTGCGATGGTTAAGAACTGGCTTGGGACGCCAGAGGGCCCCGGTTCGGATCCCACATATGAGGGCCAGTGACACTGCCCTCCACAGCTAAGATGCTGAACAACAGCTCAACCTGGAGCTGGGCTGCCGTGAGTCGCCGGCGACTGCGTAGGCTGCAGTCCCTGTGGCAGTGGGTTGCCATGGGCTGCCGTATGTAGCCAGCAGCCAGCGTGAGTGGCCAGCAGCCGCCGTGAGCGGCCGTCCAGGGGCCGGCGACTGATCTGCCTCGCCCGGGAAGAGCGCAATGATGGTGCCAACTTGGGCCAGTGAAGCAACGTCCTCCACAACTAGACTGAAGAACAAAATGACAGCAACTTGTCTGTTCCCCTTCCCCCAATTCCCCAGCACTGTTCCCATCCCCCCAATTCCCCAATAAACAAAATTTTTAAAATCTAAAAAAAAAAAAAAAAAGATGCATGTTCAAGATCACTTACTGCAGCAACATCATTTGTAACAACAAAAGACTGGAAACGTCCCAAATGTGCTCACAGTATATAAATTATGGCACAGGTATAAAATGGAATTCTATGCAGCCATAAAAGAAAAAAAAAGGAAGCTCTTTATTAACTGATATGAAACAATCTCCAGTATTAAATGAAAAAAGCAAGGTGTGCAAGAGTAAATACTGATATGGTGACTTGCAAAAAATATGCTGAACAAAAGAAGCCAAACACAAAAGAATACAGACTATATGATTCTATTTATATCAAGTTCTAGGATAGGTAAAACCAATCTATGGCGACAGAACTCAGATCAGTGGTTGCTGAGAAGAGCAGTGTGGGCAAGTGGGGTTACAGGGATTAACATTCAAGGGTCAGGAGAAAGCTTTCTGGTGTGATGGAAATGTTTTACAGCTTGACTGGGGTGGGAAGTACATGGGTGTGTACCTTTTATAAACTGTATACCTGATGCGTGCATTTTATCATACAGAGGGTACCAAAAAAATTATACACATTTTAAGAAAGGAAAAAAACTAAATTAAAATTGTAATACTCCATATATACCGATAACAAAAGATGAATCCAAGTCATGTGTATACATTTTTTTGGCACCCCCAGTATATAAATTATACCTCAATAGTCAATTTTTAAAATGCTATTCAATAAGCTTCTTTTCTACCCAACCACAGAGGGAGGGAGGCACATCAGATGCCATCAGTCATGCGACCTAGATGGCAATGCCTGTGGGCCCATTGCGGGGCTTTTCAAGGTGCAACAGAGCCTTTGAGTTAAAGATGAATGAAGGCTGTCATGATGAATGTTTTCTGAAAGCTTATCATAGAGGATGACTGAAAAAACTACCAGGAGCATAACTACATGTAACGAGCATATAGGTAGCTGCAAATAAATATTCAAGTCCTTAGCTGTGGTGTTTAAAAATTCTTCATTGCCTCAGAGGTGTGGCATGCAACATTTTGGAAGGAAAAATGAAGAACTGTTCAAGAGGATATGAATTGAAGCAAATAATGAGAATAAATTTGTCAATGATCATCTCACAATAAATTATGCAGAAAACACATGTTTGAATACTTTTTAATTGCTAAGCAACTAAAGTCTGTTTTCTTTAAAATAAAGAAAAAAATAAAATGCTATTCAATAAGATTTATATAAAGAAAACAGTCTATATTAGGTAGTCGGAAAAGTCATGACATATTTTTTTCTGGTTTTCGTTGCAAAAATGCATCATGACTTTTCCGACAACTCAATATTTTCAAATAAAGAAAGATAAAATAAGATGAAACAAAAAACATCCAAAATCTCTGTGAATGTACATAGATTGTCTCCAAGCTAAAATGTTAGGTGAGGGGGGAAAAACAAGGTATAGAATATTATATGTGACCATATGTGTGACAAAAACCAATAAGCTACAAACACATATTTTTATATATAAACGATAGATATTTGCATATATATATATATACACACACACATACATGCATATATATAAAATATACGTACTCGTACATAAGTAGATGGAAAATCTACAGGAAACAAGAGAAGTACGTGATTAAATCAGGGGAAAGGGAAATGGATGATTGGAACACAGGAGAGTTTTACTTTTTAAGAGACACTCTCGTATACTATCTATCTATCTATCTATCTATCTATCTATCTATCTATACATTTATTTGGAACACTTCACAAATTTGCGTGTCATCCTTGCACAGAAGCCACACTAATCTTCTCTGTATTGTTCCAATTTTAGTGTATGTGCTGCCAAAGCAAGCACTCTTGTACCTTTTAAATTTTGTCCTAGGTTCATGGAGGTTTTTTGTTGGTTTTATTATCATTATTTTTATTTTTTTAAGTATTTAATTTGGACAAAGGGATCAGCTTTTTTAAAAGGCTTTAAAATCACCACTGTTGACCATGTGGGTGGATTCACAATGTAATGAAGAGAAAATGGTTCTAGGTTGAAAAGTTCCAGCATTATAAACTTTAAAATGTGCTTTTAAAACAAAGCTAATGTGTGAAAATGATGTGCAGTTACAAACTATTTGGCTGAGACTAAGGATAATGAAACAAGAGATGAATGATGCAAGTTCCAAAGACTTTATGTTCCAAGTCAAAAAGGGCAGGTTAAAACATAAAAATTTAATTTGCATAACACATGCATTGAAAGCTACCTATAGGCTGTGGGTTGGTTGAACTGTATCACCCAAAAAATAAGTTCAAATCCTAACACCTGGTAGCAGTAAGCATGACCTTATTTGGAAACAGGTCTTTGTAGATGTAATCAAGTCAAAATGAGGTCATTTTAGATTAGGATAGTCCCTAATCCAATGACTTGTGTCCTCATATGAAAAGGGAAATTTGGATAATTTCAAATTGATTTGAAATAAGAAAACACCATTTGAAGACAGGTAAGATAAGAGATCACCATTTGAAGACAGAGGCAGAGATTGGAGTGGTGCATCTATAAGCCAAGGAACACCAAGGATTGCCAACCACCACCAGAAATTAGGAAAGCGGCACAGAACAGATTCTCCTGAAGGAACCAACCTAGCCCACACCCTGATTTCAGACTTCTAGCCTCCAGAACTGTGAGTCAATAAATGTCTGTTGCTTTAAAATACCAAGTTTGTGATAATTTGTTACAGCGGCCCTAGATTAATACATCACCTGAACTGAAACGAATCTTTCCCCAAGGAACAAATTCTAACATATTTTGTCCACTAAAACACGCTTCCCCATGAGGAGTCTATTACAAAGGGTACATTTACAATCTCCAATTTATTATATGTCATCTCCTTGATCTAAATTGTTACAGACAGAACTCAAATAGGTAAGCCACTTAATATTTATTCTAATCTTCCAGGTGAATCGTACTTTTCTTTTACCTGTTGATAAAGTGAATGGAAATGGTCTAAATGTTTGTGTCCACCTCCAAAATTCATATGTTGAAATCCTAACCCCCAAAAGATGATGGTATTAGGAGGTGGGGCCTTTGCAAAGTGATTAGGACATGAGGGCAGCTCTCATGAATGAATGAGTGCTCTTATGAAAGAGGCTCCAGAGAGACTCCTTGCCCCTTCTACCATGTAAAGACACAGTGAAAAGAAGCCAGTTATGAGCCAGGAAGAGGGCCCTCACCAAACCATGCTGGTGCCTTGGTCTTGGATATCCCAGCCTCCAGGGCTGTGACAAATACATCACACTTGTAAGCTGCCCTGTCTGTGATATTTGTTATAGCAGCCTGAATGGACTGAGACAATGACCAAATACCATTAGGTCTCTCGAACATACTACTAACCTCCAGAACTATGAATATTTTGTTGGCTGTCTCTATAACATGGTAGAGTTGACATATATGCTGATGTCTCAGGTTCTTCAAGGCATCAATCTCCGTTTTGATCCGGGGCAAATCACTCTGTGACAAAACATTGTATTAAATGTACAATAAGCCTATTTGGGAAGCGTTCCAAGCATTAATACCTATAGCCTTAATATTGAGTAGCAAAAGCAATCAACAGCCCCAAAACAAACTGTTCAGCAATACAAAAAAAAATGTAACAAATATATTTGTATGTATATTAAAAAAAAAAAAAGCCTTGAGGGTTTTATGAAAAACAAGTTCAATGTGGGTCAATAGTACAGCATCCAGAAAAATTAAAACAATCTCAGACTCCCTTAGGAGGTTAGCATTCCAAACAAGGAATGACTGAAACACTACTCAGTGTGCATGCCTAAGCTACCACTTTTAGTCTTAGCAATGTCCCTTAGGAAGCATGCTGAACTAAAAATAGATGAATGTAGGTGAAAGGTATGCAGGTATTCACTGTCTCAGTCTTCCAACTTTTCTAGGGGCTTGAAATTTTTCAAATAAGTTGGTTGGGGAGGAGGAGGAGAAACCAAGCTGAAAGCATTTTAAAGTCCATATTAAAGACAGAAATCTAGATATCCATGAAGTAACATGTAAAACTTTATTATAAAAAGGGACTCAATCTAATGATCTTTGGCTTAAGATCCAATTATCTAGGACCATGCGCCCAGAGGTCAGGTCTTGACCAAGAATCAATTGTAACTTTGACTATTCTTATATGACAATTTTTTTTCCTTCCTTTTTTGTAGGGAGTGAGAGTCTGATGACTAAAACTTGGAAGTAATCAAACTATTGTTAAAGACCAGGAAGTAACTAAAATAAGCATAAAAACAACAGAAAATATAAAAACGAGTTTAGAAATAATGAATTAATGAATTTATGTCATCATATTGATGGTTTAGAATAAGTTTTGCATATCAATGTGGTAATACGTTTTGTAATAACAGTACACATTTTGTTTGCTATTTAAGCATTTGTAATGTTCAAGTGGATAAGTCATAGTAAAGTTGTAAGTAAAGTTTAAACTACTGAAGGGAATTAATCAGATTTGTAATCAGTGTTTAAATGCTCAAGAAAATGGTTTTTAGTGCCTTTTATTCGCTTAATAAACATAATACTGAGCACTGATAAACAAAAATATTGAAGGAGAGCCTGAATTATCAGTCAATAGATTAAAAGTAATTTCTGATATAGGTCACTGTGATTTTTGACATATTTTGGAAGGAGTTCTAAAAACTGAGTGGTATTGCTATAACAAAACTCCTTACATTCCTTTGACTTATTTATGTACGTTAATCACCACTTAGATCCTTAAAAATGAAAAATAAAGTAACAACTGATGTTAAACTCTGTCTCATTCCAGCAATGAGACAAGTCAAAAACAAGTCCAATGTATGTATCTATTTAAAAATTCATTTTCAGTACATTATGTTTTTTATGTTTGACAATTATCAACATTGTGCTGTTTTACTCAATTGTATACTACTAGTAACTATGCTAACTCAATCCAGAAGAAAAAAAATAACATTCAGATTTTTGTTCAGAGAAAAAAATGTTTAGTTTTTTTCATTTATCTTCAATAAAACAAACAGCCACAGATACATACTTAGGAACTAGTGAATTCTGAGCAGAAGACCAGAACAAAAATATGGAATCCAAACTATATGAGGGAAGGTATATAGAATTAGATTTTTTTAAAAAAGACCACTCATAGTGAGTATAGTCAGTGGAAAGAGTATATACAAAAGACCCAAAAAGACCATCAGAAGAGACAAGTCTTCCCTTAATATAAAAACAAAAAATTTGGGGCCCGCCGGGTGGCGCGGTGGTTGGGAACTCGCTTGGGGTGCCGGAGGGCCCCGGTTCGGATCCCGTATGTGGGGGCCGGTGGCACTGCCCTCCGCAGCTGGGATGCTGAGCAGCAGCTCAACCTGGAGCTGGGCTGCCGTGAGTCGCCGGCGACGGCGTGGGCTGCGGTCCCTGTGGCAGTGGATTGCCATGGGCTGCCGTGTGTGGCCGGCAGCCAGCGTGAGCGGCCGGCAGCCAGCGTGAGCGGCCAGCAGCCGCAGTGAGCGGCCGTCCAGAGGCCGGCGACTGATCTGCCTCGCCAGGGGGGAGCGCGGTGATGGTGCCGACTTGGGCCGGTGGGGCTGCGTCCTCCGCAGCTGGACTGAGGAGCGGGATGGCAGCGACTTGTCTGTTCCCCTTCCCCCAGCTCCCCAGCACTGTTCCCATCCCCCCAATTCCCCAATAAAAAAAAAATCTTAAAAAAAAAAAAAAATTTATGTACATTATAGCCAAGACCACAAATTGAATGGGCTGCTTTAGGAGGTAATGAGCAGTCAATCCTGGAAGCACTCATTAGAGGAAAAGGGGGCTGATCAGGAAAAGGATTTCATTAGGTAACGTCTAAGGTCACTTTGAATGAAACACTGGGACGTAAGATCTCTCTATACTATGAAATAGATCAACATTGAGTAAGGTGATCATGAGCAAATAAACAAGGGAGACGTTAACACCAAAAAATACCTATAAGACCATGAAACAATGGATCCGATAGGCTTCAAATATGTGCCATTGCCCTGCATTAAAATGAAGGACAAAATAACCCCTTCTCCCAGATTACTTTTAAAAATCATAGAGTTATACATTACTGGCAATTAAAAAAAAAACAAGACAAATATTCTAGTAAGAGTAGCAACTAGAATTTTAGAGCAAATTCGGGTTTTAATTCACAAACCTGATCTATAAATATTTTTTAAATAATTTTAAACTTACCCCTAGTGCACTTTTATCCATGATTTTTATAGCTACCATTTCTCCAGTGAGGATATGGCAGGCAAGTTTGACCTTTGCAAAGCCACCTAGGAGTAGGAAAGTTATGAAGAGATAAGCAAGACTAACCTATATATCAGCCTCAGAGCAAACTCAGGCACAAACAGTATTCATAGTATTTGAGAAGCTCATCATAATCTTTCATAGTCCTCCTAGAAGCTTACTCAAAATTATACAAAGCACCTCTAAGACAGAAGGCTCAGGTACAAACACCTTTCCATATGCTTTTAAGAGGCTCCATCAGATCCATAGTCCTGCAAGTTTGTGGCTCTTTCTTCCTGTTGCTTCCAAAGTGGTAGCCATGACCCTAACCTCTCCTCATCGAATGTCTAACTGAAGTTTTTTACCATAACAGTACATCACACAGGATTCACTCTTTATATTTGCTTTATAATTTGCTTTATAATTAACACTGCAATTAAACTTGTTTTATAATTAGCATTAACTAGAACACAGTGTAAAGTTGCTGAGACAAAAGTCCAATAATATGAAACTTCCATTCAGGTTTAAAACTGTGAAGATAAGCACCTGTGTTTCCAAACTGGATCAAAGGCTGGATAAATGTCTACACTTAGGTCTATCTAAAAGAAATCGCCAACTTAACATTTCTGAAAAGAAGGTCCTGATAGTCCTTTCCATGGTCTTTCCCAACTCAGTAAACAGCAACCCCATTTCGCAGGTGCTCTGGCCAGAAACCCAGGAGCCATCCTTATCCCTTCTCTTTTGTCTCACACCCAATATCCAACTCGTCAACAAACCCCATTGGCTCTTGGGGGGAAAAAGAAATGTACTGACTGGAAATGTTCTGTCTCTTGATCTGAGCAGGGAACATTATGGGTATATATGTATATAAAACTCTATTAAGATGAGTGCTTTTTGCATATTTGACTATGTGTTATTCCTCCATAAATCAAAATACACAAACACATACATATGTATATATGTATGTATGTCTATATAGAGTACCTTCACTACTATCACCCTCACCCAGTCACCAGCATCTCTAGCATCACTCACCTGAGTTACTGCAATAACCTCCTACCATCTCTCTGCTTCTGCCCTTGCCCTCCCCCACCCAATCACAACCAAGTCATAAGAATGACCCTTAAAAACAAAGGTCAGATCACTTCTTGGCTCAAAACTCTCCAATGAGTTTTATTCTAAATAAAATAGCCTACAAGGCCTTCATACTGCTCTCCTCTCTTGCTCCACTTTTCCTTACTAAGTAGGTTGAAAAACTTTAAAACTACATAGATTAGACTAAAGCTTGCGACTGCCCAAATAAGCTACACTCTCAAACAGTTGATCTATCCTCTGCCCCCAAGAAGAAAATAACAATTACCTGTCCCAATAGTTTCATATAATTCATAGTATTTGAGAAGTTCATCATAATCTTTCATAGTCCTCCTAGAAGTTTACTCAAAATTATAAAAAACCTGTAAGACAGAAATAGTATATGATCAAAAAAGGAACTAATGTGAGATTATCACCTCCACTCTTGTAACTGCAAATATAAATATGTTTTAGGCATATAAATGATACTGGAAAAACTGATTAGCCATATAAAATAATACTGGATTCCTATCTCACGCCATACATAAAAATCAATTCCAGATAATATAAAGACTTAAATATGAAAGACAAACCTTTAAAACTTTTAATAGAATATCATAATGATTTTAAGATACGAGAGGACCTTGTAAACAGATACAGAAAGTACTAATTATAAAATACATTAAACATTAAAATTAAGAACTTCTTAATCCAGACATTTAAAACAAAGAAAAAACATAAATGCGAGAAAATATTTGCAACGCTTATAACAATGGACTATTATCCAGAATACATATACTCCAAGACAACAGTATAGAAAACAGCTCAACAGAAAATAAGCAAATGAAATACAAAGGCATTTTGCAAAGAAACACAAATAACCAATAAAAACATGAAAGAATGTTCAATTTCATTAGTTATCAGGGAAATGCAAATTAAGACTCCAATGATACGCAATTTTAAGACACATATGGGATACACAGTACCTTATTACTATGCTTCACAATTTACATGTGTTACATATACACATATATTCTTAAGTATATGTCAAATATATAAAAATTAATGGTAAAAGTTTTAGGTAGATCTTATTTGATTCTGTCTTCCAGAGTTTTAAAATTGAGTAAAATTACAAAAAACCATCAGGATAAGTAAGACCCTATTATGTGTGTTAATCCATAAAGTCACATTCATACCAGCTTTGTCATAGTTACAAAGGATATCCTCTTAGTTGACTTCAACTAGAGTTTAGCAATGTTATCTGGCAGAACTAGTCAGACTATTAACTTGAATTTTCTTTTATTCATTCATTTATTCATACAGATGTATTTACTGAGCACCTATGATGTGCCAGAACTGCGCTTGGCACTAAGGTTATAATGGAGAAGAAAAGAAATGTGGTTCCTGCCCTCACGGATCTTGCATTCTAGTGGAGAAGACAAAAGGTATATCAACAGACAACAAATTAAATAATTACAATTTATAATAAATACTGGAAAAGAAATAAGCAACAGTGGTTAGAATGGGTCACTGAGAAGGTAATATTTAAGCCAAGATCTAATTCAAAGGATGAGAAGTGAGAAAAAGAACATCGGCCTGGCTGGTAATCCGAGTGGGACATTCCTGCCAAAACTTGAACAATGTTTCCAACAGGACCTGGACATGACCATGTAAACAATGTTTCTACATAAAGCTGTTAAAATGATAAGGATCCTTTGACTTACTGCTGCTTTCTCACCAAGGACATCCTCAAGACCATGTCATTCTAAGATGCCCAAATGCGGAAATGCCCCTGCTCTTTGATAGAAGCCATTCCAAAACTGGTCCCTGCTTCGGTCCCTGCTTCCTTAATCCCTCCTTAAAATCACCCAGCATAAGCCCAAATCCTATAAACCCTTTTTAACTCAATCTTAATGAGATACTCTAAGGTCCTAGGGAGTATGGATTCTCTTGTACCAACAAGCTAAAAACACGTAATGTATTTTACTATAGATGTGTTCTTAGTGGTCTTTGGTAGGCCTTAACAGAAGTTGTTAGCCCAAAAGAAAGAGAGAAAGAGCATTCCAGAAAGAGGGAATTTAAGTGCAAAGATCCTAGAGGAAGAAAAAATTGACATGTACTGAATGAAACTGCTTTTAGAGGTACCAGCAAACGGAAATGCAGATTTAGAGCTGGGGCAGTTGGTTAGCCATGTGGGAAAAAAAAGAACATTGTATCTCCTCCATCTCATATCATACACAAAATCAAGTACGGTTGACGTAAAGACTTAAAAAAGGCAAATCTTTAAATGGTAGACAGCTAAGGTCTTACCCATACCAGACCTACAGCTAGAAGTGGCAAGAGGAAGAAGTAGACAGAACAGTTAGAAAAGTAAGAATTAGAGGAATACAGTTTCATGAAATGCAATAAGGAAGAAAAAAGTAAAACTAGTAAAAGACAGTTTATGTAGATTTCTAAATAATTTTTTTTAAAGTACCCACATATAGGTTAAGTCCTAGGACTTGAGTTTAGGTGCTACAAAGTGGAGCTCTCTTTACAGGTAGACATGGGGTGAAAGGTGAACCTATACAGAAATGGTTTCCCTAAGGCCTCCTCTTCCCAGAGGTGAATGTGGTAGGATAAAACTTAGGATTTCAACTTTGGGAAGAGATGGCCCCACACCTCCTTAGATAGCCAAGCAGGAATCAGAGAGGGAAATGGAGGTCACCGAGTCAGGCACAAAGAATCTCTCATCTGGTCCAGCATAGCACACGAGGGGTTTGAGGCCAGCTAGTGATGCACTCCTCCTTTGCCTGGCTCCCTGTGTACAAATCTCCAGTGACCTAGCAGTGGGCTGGCTATGGCTGCACAGGGTTCAGGATGCCAGACCCCATTCTTTCTAACACTTCTAAAGGTTAAGTGAGTACATGCATAGCCAACTGAGACTTAGGAAGCAAAGTTCCACCTGGAAAGGCAGAGCTCATATGTTGTGATCACTGCCTCTCAGAAGTGGAAACCTGGTGCTAGTGCTCATTTCTAGGGCCAGATAGTCTCCCTTCGAGCCCCCTGATGGCTCTGGGATTGACAGGTGGCCAGCACCATGTTCACTACCTTCAAGTTCTCTATTCTTCATCCCGTCTCATCCAGAGCTGAGTGACCGGCATGTTACTAAACCTTAATAATGGTCATGACTTTGGAAGACCTAGAGTGTGAGTTCAACCTCACGAGTACGGTGAGTTTATAAAGGAAAAGACAGAGTAATAGGGGAGGTCCTTACTACAGTGAGGATGAGTCATCTTCTTAAATTGAGGTGGAGAAAAAAATGGAAGGAAATTATCAAAAGCCAAAGAGCCACAAAGGATATTTGTTTTTTTAATATCCTTTTAAAATGCCTGAAGCACTCTGATTCCATGAATCACTGTACTTGGAGATAAAAGGTAAATTGTTATCACCAAGTAAAAAGCCTTCAAAAATGTTGTCAGTGGACAGAACGCTAGAGCAGAAGCTTTAGAAGGAAAAAACATCAAAACTCACGAAACGTATCAGCTTAAAAAACCTGGTTTTCGTCCCAACATCAAAGCTGAAAACAGCAAGAAAGATAAAAATCGTGGGCAAAAGACATTCTGATCCAATAAACAATATCAGCCACTTCCTAGGAAGAGATAGCAATGAACCAACGTAATAAGCAGGTTGAACTTCTAATCTAGCTAAACCTTCATGAGTGGGGTAGGCAAACAGAAGCAGCACAGTCAGGGCCCAGTGCTGACGGAAAGTTGGTGATATAAAATGAAACATTTCTGCTTCCACTGGAGTGGCAAAACTTACTTCAGGCAAGGAGACACCACAGAGGACAGATCTATTCTCACCGGACACCTAAAGCACAGGATGCGAAATATCCTTAAGAGCGGTACTAATTCAGAACTCTTTGAAAGGGCATTTGTCAGCGGTGCATATGTGGGAATGACGCAGAACCACACCCAAAAAAACAGGAATCGCAGGACTAAGAAATTTCAAAACAGGCAATAACAACACAAGGCCAAGAAATCTTTGGCATCCTGATGAGGGAAAAGAAAAAGAGCAGACGATTGGAAATAAGGGAATGCCAGGCTGTAACTTTGTTTGCGAAGCTGCCTGCTATAAAAGTGGGCTACCGGGTTCATTCGAGAGCACAGCCCCAACTAACCTAGTATTGGGGCATTCAGAACACAGGGGCTAAAGAGGAAACACAAAGAGACATTTCAAAGTTTAAAAACCAGGAGATGGCAAGAGACAAACCGAAAGAAGTAGGCCTTAGGAAACACGTGTCTGAATTCCACACAAGGGCTGGGCTATTTCAACTTGCCACGCTCAGAGAAAGAAAGAAATTTGTTATGATGTTGGAATTCACTTCCCAAGATGAGAAATATACCAGTATCATAATTAACTTCTTGACCAATTTCTCCAAAATGGTTTTTGGAGACCAGGTCACGGCCGCTGGTCAAGTAGCAAAGCTCTACTTGCACCAATGTAAGACTGAACCATGCATCTTCTCTTTTTCTTCCTTCCATTTTACTTACCCCCTTCCCTCAAATTGCACTATGTCTTTAGGTAATACCAATGTATGCCTAAATTATATCTATCAAATCCAGGGAACATCGTTTTTGTTACTGTATAAGAAAACAGGTGTTTATACTGCAAACTATAATGAGAGATTTTACTTGGTTTTTAAATTGTGTGGATGTGGAGCTGACTCAAAATATTAAGTGCCCTGTTTGTCCTCTGGAGTTTGGGAACGCAGGACACAGGAAAGACTTGTGATTGGAGTAACCCAACTTTGTTACTGCTAACGGAGGTATATGATCAAAAGTTAATATGGAAAGCAGCACCTCGACTGTAGATAATGAAGAAGAAAACTAGACTCCAGTCAGACACCTACATGTCCTTCTGAGTGTGACTAAATAGAATTGGGGGCATATATAATTGGGGTCTTGAACTTCTCTGAGGAAACGAGGAATTGCCCAGATAATGGGAGGAGATTTATCATTCAATTTTATAGGATAGCAACAAATTGGGGGCATTTTCTTACTAACACAGCATTATTTAGGCTATGTTATTACCTGCTGTGTAATACATGTCCCTTACCTAGCAAGCTTGGTAAGACATTGATGCTGAGGGTATTTCAAATGAGAAGTAGAATACACAATAGCTTATAATGTGGCCGTGTAATACATTTCAGTAACATCCTGGCCTGCTCCCTTGCAAAGGCTTCTGGGAGCACCAGCAAAGAGGCATTCATTCCTAACTAAAGGCGTTAAGGAACTGATCTGCCCATCTCATTTGTCCACAGCAGATACACAGGAAGGGTAGAGCCACTGGTGAAACAAGCCCATGAAAGCGCAGTAAGAGCGTTTCTCATTTCTCCCACACATCATGAAAAACAAACAAAAATACGAACAAAAAAGTTAGGAACACTGGCCTCTAAGCAAAACTCCAGGCACCTCTGATACTCCCCGACTTCCACCTTCCTCCATTCCACTACCAGAGAAACTACCAAAGGTGAAGCTCAATAAAAATTACTCATCCTGGGCGCTAGGGGCCTGATCGCTCTCGTGAAACGCCGTCCTTTGGGAGTGCCCCTTTTTCCCACAGGTTTCTTGGTGGGAGCTGCACCCTTTACTGCTACAGCATTCGCTGTATAATGCCCTTTTAGCGTGAGCCTCTTAAGTCACTACTTTAGGAAAATGAAGGGCGAGGAAGGAGTTGGACTCTGAAAAGGGGGTGATAACACATTTCCTTCTTTATTGAACGGCCCCAGTAAACTGAACAGAAGTAACTCGAAACCCTTCTTTGAACGTTCGTGGAGACAAAGTCATGGACACGGGGAATGGCAATTCAGTTCTGTCGTAGCCCCCTTGGTGGCATACGCTTTGCCTGCACACCTAGACATTATCGATAACCCTGGGGTAAGTGCGATCATTATCCCCACTTACAGAGGAAAAAACTAAGGGGTTGGAAAGGCTAAATATCTCATCCCAGGAACAGGGCCCCTAAGGTGGGGCTCCAATGAAATCCTCAGCTTCCAGTGAGCCGGGAGCAAACTGGGATCGCGCCGCCGCTCCCCCAGGCCGCGCCCTGCCCGGACCTCACCTACAGCGGGTGACACTGACCTGAGGGGCGGAGAGCCGGGCAGGGCGCGGCGGGGCAGAGGGACGGAGGTGCCCACCTGGTCCGAGGTGAAGCGGTGCGTGCGGACAGTACCTGGGAGCCTGCTCCAGCCTGCGGTTCAAGCGGCTTCCTCCCGCCAAGGGAATCAAACCTCCCGGGCCGGAAGAGGCGGGGCGCGGCGGGGGCGCGCGCGCCGGGTGTCCGTGAAACGGGGGCGCGCGGCCGCCCTGGGACCGGAAGCGTGAAGGGCTTGCAAGGGAGTGGGGTGGCCCGGTGGCCCCTTGGGCTGTGAGGGGTGATTTAAGGCCTTGGTCCTCAAACTGGGGTACACATCTCCCGGAGGGCATGTTGAGATTCTTCAGGTAGCGTAGACGAAGTTTCCACATAATTCAACTTTCTTAACCTTGTTTCCTAAAATTGATCTGCAGAGAAGTCACTAGTAGTCACGATTCTCATTTTCGTCCTCCCCTCTGAATCTTACTAAAATGCGTTGCCATGAGGAGTAAACACCCCCAGAGACCAAATCGTCCATTAGATAATTCAAGGTATCATAAACACCAACCCAGCATCATAATTACAGTCTTTCTAATGCATTTTACTGTTTGTCATTATGTGATTCCATGCTGTATAAATTAAATGGCAATGATAACTTGGTCCAGGAGAAAAAAATTAAAATTATAGCCACAGGAAAGAAAAATACGAAGTATAAATTTATATATGCATTTTTATATGTATTTTTTAAATAAGCTTTTTTAGAACAGTTTTAGGTTCACAACAAATTTGAGGGGAAGGTACAGAGATTCCCCCTAAACGCTCTGTCCCCAACACATGCATATTCTCCCCTAATATTAATATCCCCCATCAGAGTGGTACATATGTTACAACTAATGAACCTACATTGACATATTATCCCCCAAAAACCGTGGTTTACATTAGAGTTCCCTCTTGGTGTTGTACATTTGATGGGTTTAGACAAATGGATAATGGCGTGTGTCTACCATTATAGTATCATAGAGGGTAGTTTCTCTGCTCTAAAAATTCTCTGCTCTGCCTAGCTGTGAAGCACAATAGTGTATATAGTATATTTCTTTGCAATGAAGTACAATGGGGTGCTGGATAAAAGATTATTGAGCAAAAAAAATTAAGATAACATCCTGTGGAATGGAAATATTGGGTTGTCGGAAAAGTCATGACGTATTTTGTCTATGTTTTTCAAAGGTCATTTATTTACATAAAGAACAAAGATCAATCAATGATATAGTGCCCCTTTTGTTCGATAACCTTTTGCCATCTTTCAGTGAGCTTCATAATTCCTCGTTCATAGAAGGACCTGTCTTTATTTGTGAAAAACTGAACAAGGTGCTGATT